GATTAGTATTACTAGCCGCCACCCCGTGCGTTGCACGGGCTATTGTTAGTGATATTACAAATAATATATTTTAATTATGTATTAAGTTTGTAGTTAGACTAAGTTTATAGACAAATATAGTAATATTTACAACACCAAATTAGTTTTATTAAAACTATAATTGAATATATTTTTATAATATATTTGTGTTCGGTTGAGAATTTTACTATTTTTTTCTACAAACTTGATTAAACTTGGAGCAGTTTCACTTTAATCAAAGTCAAAAACAACTTATAATCCATTTGAATCCAAGTGCTTTACATTTTTTAAAAATAGTCTATGCCAATTACAAATCACTTTATTATTTTCAAATTTTCAGAATTACAATAAACTACTAACTCTTCAACGTCTATTAGTTTCAACATGATATTTATTAATTCTGAAATTTTGGAAACATCTACAAATATCAAAATTGGAACTTGAATCATATTGGTAAATACTGTTTCATTTGCTCAAAAAGGTTTAGCTCGAATGCATATTGTGTTGGAAATAAGGAATTATGAATAGGCAGATTCTACGCGGGTATTTCAATATGTTGAAATTATTTAAAAATTTTATCATATTGGAAATTGTATATATAAACAAATATTGGATAATTTTCTGCAGTTAGATACATAAAAATGAGTTTTTCAACTTTGTGTTCCAAAGTAGTAACTTTAGTGTTCACAGTAAATTAAATCAACTTTATTAATATTTCCTACATTGAAAATTATTGATTACAAATATGTACTAAGTTTCTATTTTTCATACAAATTTAATCCTAATACGTTCATGATAAATACATATAACTGAAATACTGGCCGTGCAGTTTTTCTGTTTTCATTGCTTAAATTATTAAATGATTCCATTTAGAACATTTCCAAATAACTGTGATCAAAGATTAGAAAAAAAAGTGTGACCGCTTCTATCGGTCGAAGAAATTTTGTTATGTCAAAAAGACATGGTGGTGCTTAATGGGAGATGTAAATATATACTTAGAACAGAGACGTGTGAGGTGAACCTGCATTAATGCGTGAATGCATTGTTTAAGATCACAATCAAGGTGTGTTTTGTTGTCTAGTATTATTTTGGAAAGAATCTCAGTATTTGAAAATCTAATAAAGATCTGTTCTAGTTTCGCTATTTCTCCTAGAGTATCAATCATCCGAATTTTAGTTTTTAAGGAGTTGAGTTTTTTGCTACCGTGGCACAATATTTTGCTAGGTATTGTTTGTCAGAAAAATTGGCATGATGATAAAACTGTAACGGCATGTAAAAATAACAATAAATTGCAGACTACATACAGTAGTCATATGGATATATATATATATATACACAAATAAGACATAGGGAAAATTATCTGTCACAAAATATAATAAATTTTAGGGTATGACACAAATATGAAGGAAGTAGGTAGAATTATATTGGGGGAAGGTTATAATTGATTGAGAAAAAAATATTAGTAGAGAAGTTGTCGTATTTTTTTAAAAGTAAAGTTGTTATTTACTTTTGGTTGAATTTTGAATGCTAGAAGTTGTATTTTGCGATGGAGAGAGTAGTTTCAACCGTGTATACAGAAAATATATTAATATATATGTTCTTTGTTTCAAAACTAAGATTAAATACCTTTTTTTTATAGTTGAGTCTGGGATTTTTCTAATTAATTGACATGATTACCTTAACCATGCACTTATGATATAATTCAAAACCAAAAAAATCAGCAACATAATTTATTATTTCAATCAAACTAAAAAAGAAATATGTCTTGAATAGAACATGCAAATTCGACGAAATACCTGTGCATGTAATCTACGGATGTGTATGTCGACCACGAATAAATCTTCTTCAGTGCAACGGATTCAACTATCAGACATATGGCCAAATATATCAGCAGCCTATCAGCCTGTGTAATCTTCTTTAGTGCAATGGAAGCGATATCAACAGCCTATGTGTAGCAAGCAAGTTTGATCCCAAAGAAAGCTAGCTCTTCTGTCGTCTGTAGAGGCTCTGCCATACGTGTACGCATGATTATTCTGCTTACACAAACCATTAGTGATTAATATGATTGGGTATTATTGGTAAGCACGAAGATTAGATGGGGGCATAAAAAAACTAAACTTGATTGGAAAACAAATTTACGCACGTGTTCTCAAATACCAAATATCTGGTCAGGATCTAAAAGATGAAATTAGATGAAGATCGGGACGAAGGCAACCTGGAGCGTCTCCCATCGTCGATGTCACGGTTTCTTTGCAGAGTTCGATCCAAATAATCCTCCTCTCATTTTGTATATAGAACCGGTTATCTCGCGCATTAGTAGCAGATTATTTAGATGCATCTCTTATTTCCTCTGAAGAACTGCGCACCCTAATGGTTATTTAGATGGGCTTAAAACGTGGCCCACGTTATGTTTTAAATCAATGGTTAATATTGCACCATCTATTTAATCAACGGTTAGATCTTTCTAATTAACGTGAGAGCTCATAAAAGTGCCCGATTAGTATAGGTATCTTAACTAATTAAAAGATTAGTATTTTTCCTTTCGTCACCTCTTTTCACCCGCGCGTTTTTTCATTCGTCACTTTTTTTCCGTCCCCTTTTCCGTTTTTCCCACTGCACCGCGTTTTCCGTTTTCCCCACCGCATCCGATTTCTTATCTGATCTAATCTGGCGCTATTCTTCCCACCGCATCAAAAAAACCATATTCTTCCCACCGCATAAAAAAACCACACCGATTCCTACTCGAGTTTAGCAGATTATCACCCGTCCCTTACGCACATACAGATCAAACCACCACCCCATGAACTGGAGATCAAATCCATTCATCTGAATCACCACAAATTCACTAAATCACAAATCCAACAAAAATGAAGCAAAATCATCCAAAAAAATAAAAAGTAAAAACCAAATCACCGGCACCACTGCTCGTCGGAGCCGAGGACACCAATGCCCCGCTGCCGTGTGCCGCTGACCGCCGGGGAAAGGGCACCGCTGGCCGGAGGAGGGCGGTGCAAGGGCTCCGCAGTTGAGGCGCCGACCGCCAAGGTAGGGCGCCGCCTGTTGGGGGAAGGGTGCCGCCAGCCGGCGGCAGGGCGTCGCGGCTGAGGCGCCGACCAGAGAGAGGACGCCTTGGCTGAGGGGGGGGGGGGGGGAAGCGGCGTCGGACGCGGCCGTGGGTGGATCCGTCGGCAGTGGCGGTGGCCGAGAACGGATTAGCTAGCCCGTGCTGGTAAATACACTAAAATATATTTGAGTGTTTTTGACTTCACCGTTGAGAGCAAAGTAGCGATGCAAGTGAGCCCATTTTTCCTCTACAAGTCTGCCCAATGACCGAGGGATCTCAGAGAGACATGTTATAATTCGGGGCAGCTGGTTTTTGGTGTTCCTACTCGATCTAGAGAGGCTACAAGCATGTTAAAAATCGGGATATGAGTGAATCATTTATTAATGTCGATATTGTGGTTGAGCAGGGACCACGGAGTAGTTGGTTACTATAAGAGAGCATTTCTATATATTTTCTTATATACAAATTAAGTTGGTGTGCGCCATAACTATCTCCAGTCCATGATGTGAAACTTATACATTCCCCTTTAAGACAAATCATTCATGGACGGTAGGCTATGATATAAGCGTGCTACTGTAGAAACCTTCATCGGTGCCGATTGAACCACACAAAAATGCCAGATTTCTCATATCGGCACTTGGAAAGTGGCACTGATGTAGAGAGCAAATAGGTGCTGGTTCCGGTGCCGGTTTAGAACCGACACCTTTGAGGTTCCACGAATAAAAAAAAAAGATCGGCTCGATGCATCGCCTCAAAGCAGCTCCCCTTCACCCTAACTAATCCAATAACATCTAAGAACACCCCAACCAATCCAAGAACATCCAAGATCATTCAAGAACACTAAGAAAACTAAGAACACGAAGAATGTGCGACGTTGGGGAGGACATCACCGCCGCCGTCGCCTCCCCTCCCACAGGATCTAGCGGAGGGGAGAGCGCCACCTGCCATCGCTACCTCTCCTCCCGCTACCGCTTCTCTCCCGCCACCGCAGGCCGCCACCGACGCCTCCCCTCCTGACGGATGTGGCGGAGGGGAGGGCGCCGCCCACTGCCGCCACCTCCCCTCCCACCGCCGCAGGCTGCTGCAGGCTCCTCCACTCTCATCGGATCTGGCGAGGGGGGGGGGTGCTCGCAGATTCCCTCCCACCGCCGCAATGTCGTTGCCGTCGCCTCCCCTCCCGCCGGATCTAGAAGATTTCAATTTTTTTTTAAAAAAAGGCACCTACAGTTGCTTAAATGTGCTATTTTTTTGTGTTTTCAGCCCGAGGAGGTGGGAAAAGGTTTATAAGTATCAGTTTCGGCACTTCCGGCACCTATAGCGCCGACTTCTATGTGCTTTTTTTCAAGTAGTGGTGAGAGGTGATGACGATTTGATAATCCTTGATTCCATTAAAACATTATCGATTGAGACCTGGTGGGATCTTAATTTCGTCCTATAACCACATCACTCCAGCATATAGCAACTGCTTTGGAGCATAGTATGGTTCGAGGTACAAATCAGCATGGTATCTCATATTCTGCTTTGGAGCCAACGCCACAGTGCAATCTCTAATGGCGAGGTGACTAGTATATCTGTCGTCCTGATGTACTTTGCGTTGTGCAAAGTTAGAGCACAGGGGAGCAAACAACTGTCGTGTTTTCTCACTTCTTAACCTCTAGCTAGTTTCTTAGGGTGTCATAATTTCCTGTGTACATCTAATGCCAATATTTGTAGGAGAGCAATGCGATTAATTTCTTTTCTTGACAAATATATATATATATATATATACACACATATATATATATATATATATATATACACAGTTGTGTACAACAAGCAAAGGTGACAATGGCACAATGCAGCCAGCCTTTGAACCCTCATCGTTCATGTCCGTGCAACGAAGTATTGCACTCAAGCTTGCCCTAGCTCTGTCTCTTTCCTACCGGCGATGTCTCAGGCTGGCACTGTCGGCCTCCTTGAACCACCGGTGCCGGAGTGCTTGCGCCACCGTCATCCTCTTCTCCGGGTTGCACGTCAGAAGTCCACTCAACACCTCGAACCCAGCCTCCGACAATGGTGGCCGGCGGAGCATCCTGGCGTCGGCCGGAGATGGGAAGAAGCCACGAAGAAAGCTGTCCGGCCCGCATCCTCCCAGCAGCCGCTGCCCCTTGTAGCCTCGCCACCGCTTGATGTCGTTCACGCCGAGGACGTCGACGATCTCGCCGAGCTGCTCCCTGTCCGAGCTCCCGCGGAACAGCGGCTTCCTGGCGAGGAGCTCCGCCATGATGCAGCCGAGCGACCACGCGTCGACGCGCTCGTCGTAGTCCGTCGACCCGAGGAGGATCTCCGGCGCGCAGTACCACCGCGTGCCGATCGGGTTGGAGTAGGGCGGCGGCGAGGCGGTGCTCTGCGACAGGCCGAGGTCGCAGATCTTGAGGTTGCCGCGCGCGTCGACGAGGACGTTGTCCGGCTTGAGGTCCCGGTGCATGAGGCCGGCGTCGTGCATGCGCTTGGCGCCGGAGAGCAGCTGCCGCATGGCGACGCGGACCTCGAGCTCCGACCGCCGCGTCGAGCGCCTCTGGACGTGACGAAGCGTTGGCCCCACGAACTCCATGACGAGGACGGCCTCGCCGTCGTCGCATCGGCCGTGCGCGCGCAGCTGCACGATGTAGGGGTGGCCCCTGCACGCCTCCATGGCGGCGACCTCGCGGTCGAAGTCGGAGCGGTCGACGAGCTCCCCGCAGTCATCTCGGTACGAGCGGATGCACTTCATGGCGACGATCTCGCCGGAGCGGTGGTCGCGTGCGCGGTAGACGATGCCGCAGCCTCCTGAGGCGAGCTCGTCGAGCTTGACGAAGCGGCTGATCACGACGGAGGAGCTGGTCGTCGCCATCGCCATGGCCACCGATCGAGATAGGTAGCTAGCTAGGGTTTTCTTTTCCGTCCTCTTCTTTCGTGGCAGTCGAGGACCGAGTCGATATGACGCAAATGCAAACGGGTTTAGGAGGAGAGCGGTAGCAAATATATATATAGTTGGCTGGCTACGTACGCAGTACGCACGCGCGTGGCAACGTGAGTCGGAGTCCGATGCGGTCTTTGGCGCGAACGCAGTCACGCGCACGCATGCATGCGTATTAAATCGGAGTCGGTCTTTTGCTTTCCTATAAGCGTTTCCTTTTTTATTCTAGACGCGTTGATGTTAGCTAATATACGTGTCGTCGTCCACTGTTCCAATAGTACGATGGTTCATGGTGGCATTGCTTAAAGAAAATCATTTTAGGCAACTCCTACATAGTACTCCCTCTGTTCCAAATTATAAGACCTATATTTTTACACGATCTTTAATAACATATTTTAACTATTAATTTATTACATGTTATGTTCCAACAAATATAAAATTAGAATCACGTAAAATCAGTGGCGGATCCAGAAAATCGATTTATTGGTGTCATAACGTGTCTATCGGTGTCATAGTATGTTAATTATGCTTAGATCATAGTGTTATAACATGTGGATAAGCAGTTTCGCTATAGGTTTTGCCGAAAGTCGTCGGTGTCGCCTGACACCGCTCATACTACTGTAGATCCGCCCATGCGTAAAATTACTTTAAAATATGAATTTAGTGATATAATACGCATAATACTATGGATAATTAAACCTTAGCATCCTTTAAATAATCTACATAACACTTTCCTCAGTAGTATATACCTCTATCATATCGTTCTCTTCATGTAAGCACGATTCCGTACATAATCCTTTAGAATAGATATGTAGTGCTCGTATACCACGAAAAATTTGAATCTAAAATACTGAAAAAAAATTAGGATAATCAAAAACCATTTTCGGATTTGCATCATGCTGAAATTTATTAGATTCTCATTTCTTTTCTTCGTGCCAATGCAAAAATTAAATCAAATTCAAATACAACTAAATATAAATTAAAGAACCAGGATTCGTGCAGCCAAGCAGTGGACCCGTGACGATGCCGTCCAGCCACTCCTGTCATGCCACCTCGCCTGCCTTCCTGCGCAAGCTAGAGTGAGGTGTGCACCTATAAAGTGCGCCGTCTTGGCACTCCTTCACCACTCACCATTCGCCACATCACGTCTGCACTCCTTCACGCTACACTCACACCTCCACCCCGCCTTGGCTACATTCGTAGCCAAACAGCTTCCCAGACGCCCTTCCAATGTAGCGGTGGATCTAATATTTAGAATATGGGTGGTCTGATCTAATTTTTTTTTAAACGCAGGAAATCTAATGATATTAATATATACAAGTATAGATAATAGAATAGACCAAAAGTATACCACGATATATTAATAAAGCATCTTAAAACATATAAAATTAGTTATTAAGTAAAACTTTGACTTAAAGAAGCTTATATGGCTACAAAAGTTTAAAGAAGATTGTCATATTACTTTTTTTCTTCTTATCAGGTCTACGCCTTCTAATGGCCCTAAAAGTAGTCATTACATCTTCTTCATCCACTTTAAAGAAAACATTATGCTCAATGAATGTGACTAGACAATCATCCAAAAGGTCATCTCCCATCTTATTTCTCAACTTATGCTTGATGAAATTCATAGCGGAAAATGCTCTTTCAACACTTGCTGTCGCAACCAGTAGAATCAATATTCACTCAAAAAAGGGGTAGAATCAATACCAATTTAGGAAGCAAGTAGACCAAATCATAAACGATATGCCTTCTGTTTGACAAAGCTTGACTAAAAGATTAACAAGATTGTTTAGGCCTTTGAAACCATCGTCTTTTCTCATGTCATCAAAATAATTGTCAAGTTGCATACCAAGTCTTAATAATTCAAAACTTGAAATATCATTAGGGTAGAACTCAACAAGTCGACATACCTTGTGTGCATCACAAGTAAAACAATGAGTCAATGCTTAGCAGGATTCAAGAATGTCATACTATATACAAATGAAATTGACAATTATACATTTTTACATACCTTCTGTGCATCAAAAGATGCAAATGAGTCGGCCGTCATATAGGAAAACAACTCCATATTAACCTCGTCAAAGTGATTGTCAAGCTCTTGGCTAATTTGATTAATGATCTCAATATATACTTCTGTTATAAAGTGGTCATCATTTCTTTGATTTCGAGCAAACCTTGGCGATCTTCCGTAAGGCATATAAACACCACACATTTCAGGAGCTTCAACACCTTGTTTATTGAAGAACAAAGTGACCCTTTCAAGGAATGCAACCCACCCATCAGACCTCAACTCTTACATTTTATTCTTTGCCAAACGAACGAGTGTCATTGCATTAAGAATATCTTGCTCTCTTCTTTGTAAACACTCAGACAAATCATTTGTGTATCCAAGAATGACAAGCATCAATTATGCACTAAAAATAAAATCAAATGACTCAAAAACTCCAACTATAGCATATATTTTTGGCTATTCAGTACTTTGTGAAGTATCATGTAACACCCCAGGTAACCACATACCTAGAGTACCACACCAAAATACACTCAAAACCACTAACTCCCAAAATTATTAGAAATTTCAGCAGAGTCTCCCCGAAAAATACAGACATCCACGACAGGAAGTTATAAGATAACTCAATAACGATATAATCCACATAATACAAACCATCCTAGCTGCATGAATTCCTCGTAAAAATAAGGACCAGAACTTTAAATGACTTTTACAAGTTCTGCGCAAAACTTATGCTAAGCAGAAACATAGTCTAAAACCAAATTTCAATAGTGTGCAATAATAATGTGTAGTCCAAGGGTGCTACTCCCGTCCCATGCCGATAAATATCATTAGGTACCTAGAAACCAAATTAAACACAAGAGTGAGTAAAAAATACTCAGCAAGTACAATATTGAACTAGTAAAACATACACAGGTTTAATGCAAGAAGAAACCAATATGAAACATTTGATTTCCTTTAATTTAAAACAAAGGAGGCAAAAAGTTGTAGTTCCCTCCCGGACAGGTGTGAATATCCTCTTAGCATTACCGGTAAGCCGAGCAAGCGTGATCAGCGCTTCTCAAGGATCATGAATAAAATTCTAAATTGCACTCCCATGACTACGCATGGTACTTGAATAATGTAAACAAAAACTTCCGGAAGACTGAAACCTGAATAACGTAGTGAACTTGAACATGAAGTGAAATATGAATATGTAGCATAATACCAAAACCACACAATTGATAATAGGAAACTTCGAATAATAATTGGGTAAATGAAACCAACAAAGCAACACAGTTTATCTATCACACAAGTCCATCTTGTACTTACCTTAACTTCTTCGATAAACTCCTCCAAGTTGGAACCCTCCACACCTGTGGAGAAAAACTATGCATAAACCATTATATCCAACTAATGATTGTTACAAGGGACATTTACTAAAATCGAAACCTAGAATATAATTTACTATATCCAACTAATGATTGTTATAAGGGACATTTACTAAAATCGAAATCTAGAATATATAATTTTTTTACTGATTTATATTAAATAACCTATGGCTGTTCCCTTACTGTTTTATGCGTAACTCACAAACCGTCTAACGAAATCTAACAAATAATATAACTTCGGATATCTATACAAAATTGTCTACAACTTTCATGTTGGGCATAAATTCCGATTATGCCTCTGCAAATCCCAGATTAAGGAAAACAAATTGCTGTCCTGATTTCCGAACCCAGTCAGCAGTACTGTTTCTGTTGTTTCTCCCAAACCGTTTATCAGAATTGAGTGAAACCAGCGCCGTTAGAAAGATATCGATGATGACTACAAAGTTTATTTAGGTCAACTAACCTGAATCCCGACGGTTTATTACCAGATTTAAAAATACGGTTTCATCCTATAATCAATAACCTCAAAAATTGCACAAACGGCTATCGAATAAATTTCTATTTGAATCTTATACTTCTAAGGGGTAACCAAAAGTACCGTTGCAGCGTGGATACTAGAATTTGAGAACAAACCCGCTAGCCGCGAAATCACCGAAATCCTCAAAATTCCTTCTTCCTCCTGTTCTCCTGCGCCCTCCTCCCTGGCCACGCAGCAGCAGCCTGCAGCAGCGATCAGCGGCAGCAGCAATCGCATGCATCAGCAGCAGCAGCAGCAAGCAATCACATGAATCAGCAGCAAGCAATCAAATAAGGAGCCGACAGCAGCACAAAGATCGGCGGCAGGAGCTCACCAAGAACGAGCCGAGCAGGAGGAATCAAGTGGCCGCGATGGACGACGACGGCCGAAGCAGCGGCGGCAGCGCAGAGGCGACGTGGCAACCAGAACGACCGCGGCGACGGCAAGGGTGCAGGACGGCATGAGCGGCGGCGGCTAGGGTTTTGCTGGCGATCCCTTTTTTTCTTTTTTTTTGTTATATAAAGAGACAAAAGGAGATCTAACGGCCCATATCGATTCGATCCCCGGGACTTCGTTCGGACTCCGATTACTATAAATTTATATTCTATTTTGCACAACTCGGCGAGCTCTACGCATCCACGATTCTTGATCGCCTATTCGAATAACGGTTTAAAAGTTGAACTTTTACGCGTTTACTAATTCGAAATTCGGGGCATTACATATCATCTCCAAGGTTTATAAGTACATCACTGATTGCATGATACACAGCAATAATATTGACAATGGTTTTGTAGTGAGACCCTCATCGAGTCTCACCGGGTCTAGATAACCCCATCTCTTGATTTTGTCTACTACCAGTTTCTAATACACAACATTCAATTGCATTGACAACATCTTGAAGTCTAGCATTTCAAAGCATGTCATGCCGCTTACTAGAAACCCCAACAATATTTAGCAAGAGAGATACTTGGGTCAAAAACGACACACAATCATCATTCCCCTTGGCAACGGCAACCAGAACAAGTTGGAGTTGATGTGCAAAATAGTACTCCCTCCGTCCCATAATATAAGGGATTTTAAGTTTTTGCTTGCAATGTTTGACCACTCGTCTTATTTAAATTTTTTTGAAATTATTATTTATTTTATT